TTCATCGTCGATGCTGCCGTGCCACGCCGGTATCGTGGCCTGTACCGGCATTCCCCGCGGTCCCAGCAATTCGCCTCTAAATCTTCGTTCAGATTAGTCGAATTACTTGAATTCAAACGGCTTGAGTTTATGTTTATACGAGTCGAATTATTCAACTCGAGGACGTTGACTGGAAGGAATCTGGGTTTAGGTGAACGACTGGAAGTAAGTAGGTACGAAGTTTCGAGTGGCGGATACTTAGAACGACGACGAGGACATGGATGATACATGCAAGCATGAAAGTTGACGTAACAATTTGTTAAGTTATAATATCGCTGTTACTTTGAAGGCAACCAATGGTTGGAAAAATCTCGGTTTTACTAAAACGTTCGAGCGATATTTCGAGTAGGACAACCGGTTCACATTTATTCGAACGTAAGCAATTTGAGTCGTAGTTCACGCTAATGTTTCTAACGATCTTTGTTAGTATTTTATAGGTTGTTACATTTCTCTGTACTTTATACCTACGGTGGTAGTATGAAGTGATAAAAACAGGACAAAGACATTTTTACGGTGTCCGACTTTCCAATTATGTTGAGGGTGCGTATGCAAATTCGTTGGTTAAAGCTTCGTAAATAAAGTTGCCTGATACGAAGGCAAATTACGAAAGTGGTTAGAGTTCTAAGGTGTAATTAAGACGTAATGTTTAGCTATACGGAGGGAACATATCTTTGAGAAGGTAATATTATATATTATGTATTACTATATTAGTAACTTTTGCAATACTGCATTTATTAACGAGTTGAAATTACATTTTAGAAATCGATTCTTTTATATTCATGGAAGTCGTAGTGAAAATCGATCGCACAAAATTTTATAACGCGCGATGAAGTCGACTAAAGATGCTTCATCGATGTATACTTAAAAAGAATCTTTAAATTCTCAAGTTAACAACATTCCGTATTTACACAAGTATCGATTATTAAATTGCAAAGTGATGTAACTTGTAATTAGAAATTATGCAACCGGTAGTAAACGTTTCCAAGCTAGGAATTTAAAAAATCTGTCACTTTCACATCCAAGAATTGCAGTAAAAAGAATACAAATATTACCTAACTATACTGATGAAAAATGATTTCCTCGACTATAAATTTGCCAAATCTGTTTCAATCCATTTATCAGTGAGATCTACGCAATTGTAATAACTAACAAAATCATCGTTTCACTTTCTGTCGTGCTTTTCACCATTAAAAAACTAAATTTCACCTTGTTTCCCTTAACAGACTCTCTCTACTTAAATATCATTATCTGCAAATTATTTTAACGATCTAATCGTTATTTGTATTAAAATATATGAAGGAAATTGTACTTCCTTGTGCTTAGTTAATTATATTATAATTAACGCTGTGTTTAAAAGGAAGGAGGAAAGGGAAATCCCTCGGTAACGTGCTAAGATCACGAAAAAGTCGCAGCTGCCGCTTCTTTATCTTCGCAACACTTAACAGAGAGTAGCATGACATTTAACTCAGAGTAACAAAGCCGAGGAACAAAAAAGTAACGTTAATTTCACCGGATAGCCGGTAGCCCCCGCATTTGCAACCTGTCGCGATAGAAGCTCCTTATCTGAGGCAGGTGCGCGTCTCTGAGAAAATGTAGACGCCAGTATAATAACTTCAACACAGCACGTTCCAATGTGTGCGGACCGTTTCCTTTTCGCTGCATTAGCTGGACGAATCGCTTTTACAATTATTATTCTTTACGCAACGCGACTCGAGAAAGCGAAAAAGCAAATGTTACGTAACTAATTTGATGAAAAAGTTATTACCTTAATGATAAATTTTTCAAACTCATCCACTTACCAGTCCGATCTTTACAATTGTAATATAAAGTAACAAACTTATCATTTCAGTTTCTATCACATTCTTTAGCATTGTAAACATAAATTTCATACTTTCTCCTTTCACAAATATATTATTTCAATACTTTGACGTTGATTTAATGTTTCTTCGTTTTAACCGAGACGCTATCAGAATTTCTATTTTTATTTTTTCGTATGTTTTCTAAGACCATGTCATTTCCATCCAAATGCAACGTATTGGTTAAACTTTTGTATAATTATCCCCGTGTTATTCAAATTATCCGTTATTAGTGTAAGAATAATCATACTTTTGGAAAGATAGTACGTATATTCGGATTAATGTGTTTGATTATAATATGCATTACTATCCCTAAGAAAATATTCGTAGATCTTGTTCATGGACTTGTTTAGAAGCAGAGAGAATAATTATGTGATTAATTCATCGAATGTGAATCATCGCTATAGTTTATATAATGATAATGAATAAGGCAAACCCTTAGTCGATTAATGTAATACGATTCTTGTTCGATCAATGTAATGCGATTTGCATGACTAATAATCGTTATAGTAATTAGATGAAATTTTTACTTAATTCGTAAAATAATTGGAAGATGTTCCTTTAGTTATGGTATATTCTGCTGTTATTATTATATCATAGATATTTAGAAGGAAAAAAGTTAAGCTTTCTTACATTAGATTCTAAGAAAAACTGGATTTCTATCTTTTACAAGAAATATAAAATGTTCGTTACAGTCTTGCCTGTCTTCCTTTAGAATATATTATCTCCAAAGCTTCCAACAACGCTTCCGAATATAACTATGATGTACTATGGTATTTATTTCTTTTTCTCGAATTCTTCCTTCACGTCTACTTTATAATATTTTAAAAAATAAAAAATTCGATGAGAAAGATAAAGGAGGAAGGGACAATAGAAATGTAGAAGACTTTAATCAAATATATTGTAATCTCTTTATTTATTTTATTTTATTTTATTTCATTTACATTTTATGTGTTTCATTGTATTACTAATATTCCATATTGTATGCATACGTATCTTTGCATCGTACCTGAAAATTTTGAGATCATTTTATCCATTGGTCATCCACTCCTACAAAATATAATTTTCCATAATTTTACTTTCATTCGTATTTATTACACATCTAACTAACGGTAGTAAGTTGTTTATGTACAAATTCCAACTTAATAATTTACAATTCAGAAGTTGCAAGTACTTAGTTCTTTTTAAATAAATCTGCATTAAAAATTGCTTTTAAACAAAATTGATTAATACATAAATTACAATTTTGCAAAAGTAATCGAGTCTATTATTTCCTGAAAGGTTTCTCTAAATTTGCTTGTTATACTAAAAGCATTTTAGACAATCGATTCTTTTTATATATAAAGAAAAAAGAAATTACGATTAATGTATAAAAATATTATTATCCAGCGCTGAACGATAGCGACATTAAATCTCATAATTATTTCCAATAATTCTATAAATCTAATCCAATAACGCGTTAACGATAAATATCATTATTTTCCTCGCAATATATTTTTCTGAATTCTTCTATCAATTCAGTGCTTCAAACGAGTTAATTTCATTTCTAAATACCTCTTGCGTTTGAGAAAGTTTATGAGAAGAGCAAAGTAATTTATCGATCATTGACGTTGTGAAAGGATCGTAAATTTCCTTCCTTCATTAACGCTTCCATATATGATTTTTTATCAATTTAACCGATATCTCTTTTAAACTGATCCTACGTAACATTGATCGTTTTGCTGCTTATCGACATTTAAAGAAAACACTGATAAAAATTAGTTTAGATAGAATTAGTACTAATTTAGCCACAGACTAAGTACGATTATCGCCTAGCAATTTTCTATTTCCGTTTCATGTAAATATTGACATATTGACTACTGTGGAAATCGATAGTAAATAAAAAAATAAAATAATTTTCTGCAACAACGAAGAAAAGTTGTACCATTTAATTCACCGTCAGAGAAATATATCTCTATACGATTAAGAAAATCATATTGTTAAGATTATTATGAAATAGTAGTTCTTAGACTAGTTTTTATTGTTTTACTTATTATTCTCTCCAACCATTCTTTATCACTTTCATTTTTAACTTCTATTATCTCAATTGTATATGTTTGTTCTTATTGTTCCTTCTTAAACGCGTCTCTCCCTTTGACCAAAGATACAAAATACGTTACTCGATCTACGAATGTAAATGCAAAACGGTTTTTGTTCGAAAGTAAACGGAGCAAATCGTCGTTGAGATGGTTTCGTGCGTCTCATTCGCAACACTACGAAGATGTAGTTAATCTTCGATCGACAACAGAAACGACACGCTCGACGGTGCAACCGTAGATGCATCGAGCGAAGTGAATCTTCTCCAATGCATCTACTTTCACCGATTAAAATGAACAACACGCTCGAACGATTCTCCAGGCAACCATCCTCTTCGATATTCCTCCTAGAATCGATATTCGATCGAGTGGCCACCTAGCTACCTGTCTTTTCGTGTCGCAAGATCTTTACTCTCGTGATTGACACGATTGTTAAGATCATTAGGAGTCGGTATAATAGAGCTGCATGTTCGATATTGTAAAATGCTTCGTTGCAAAACGATTTTCGTCACCTTTTGCTCGTCTTCTTTAGAGTTTGCTAATGGATTTGGAATTTGATTGAATCGAGATGGTAGGGCTTTGTAATTGTTTGAAAATGAAAATAAAGGGTGTTATAAATTATTATACATTTGTAATGCTATTGAGAATTGATAGAAAATCTTATTAAAAGGAACCATTAACTTTACACTACTACACTAAAAAAAACGAAAAATTCAACAATCGTTCACCATCAAAATCTGTTAATTGGGGCTCCTCGTTATAGATCATTTTACGGACTTTTATACCCACGAAATTAAAAGTTAATAAAGACGAATGAATCTCTATTAAGTTGATCTCGGTTCCCGCAATATGATGTAATTTATTTTCCCAGGTTGATGCCACGTAAAAGGTTGGATCCTGACAACGTGAAGTTAACCCTGCTGCAATCTTCGAACATTTATATTTCGGTCTTGCTTTCATCTTAGCAAACAAGAAGAATTTGACTATCGAAAATTATCAAGAAAAAGTAGCAAAGTTAAATAGAGAACTGATCGTATCGAAACCAAATAATCCAAATAACAATATAATTCGTCTTTTCCGTTTAACGAGTTAAGTTGTCCTTTCTCTAAAAAAGAAGAAATATTTGCCAAAGATGGGAACGATTTTGAAAATAATTAGAAATTATTATCGGTATGATCGATCGTCCACGGTGAATCGGTATCCAGCAAGTGATGGCATTGCAAGATCCACGATTATACACTGCACATCTGTGAATTCTTCCAGTGCCAAGACCCGCCAGAACCTTTCCGATGTCCTTGATCTTCGTTTCCTCCTCCGCTTTTCCTCCGTCCGTGCTTGTGCAACATATTTCCCTTTCTCTTTCTTCTTATTTTACGCTCGGAGCACGTGCTTGTCGATGTCGTGAACCGTTTCTCGAGTAAATCGTTCGATCTTGAACAGAACCGTTCCTACGTCGTTATCGTATTAGAACCGTTAAGTAATTTATAATGAGACAAAAAGTACATTAATTTACGTCGTTAGCTCTGCGCTCACTTTCCTCGATATCAATCTTTCTGCAGTCGGATTAAGGTACTTAAAAATTGTGAAAATATTTTTTCTATTGTCTTATTAGAGAAATACTCTGGATATTAGCGTAGAGTGATTACCGTATCTTGCGAAGTAATTACAAAGTAATTCTGTCGGGTAGAGATGGATGATAATACTCTTTAGTACGGTGTCAGAATGATAAATTACGTTGAATTGTTGGATTCTGTGTGTATCAACATCGTAGGATTGTTTCATTTTTTATAATAATTTAGTAGTTAATCTACGAAGTAGAAATAAAAAGAAACGTATAATTATAGTCTTTCGTTCCATAAAATTGAAAAAATGAATTACGTTGAAATACTGGAGATCCTATACAGATTAATGTAATATAAGACACACGCCCATTTTGTACGACAATTTTAAAGTGGTGAAATAATTTTACAAAATGAAGATGAATCAAAATATGATATTTTTCATTTCTTTCGTGCTGCAAGATCGACATGATGAATCGTATTAAATTGTAAAGATCCTTCGTGGTATATACTTTCTATAATAATTTGCCAATCGTTCTATAGAAGATTATACAAATATACTTGAAGACAATACCCGTACGAATCACGAATTTCCTATGATTTACACAAGATAGAAGTTTCAAAAATATTCAACAAATTTTCTATAAAAAATCTTCAACCAAAATAGAATTTCCAATACATGAACTTATATAACCATCATTCCTTTATCCGTAAAAAAAATTCCAATGGAAGAAACGAAAAAACCATCCAATTTCACACCGCTAACGCTGATCCATCAAAATTCGAGCAGGTAAACGAAAGTAGATCGTTTCGAGCCGCGACGGCAACAGTGTCGAGATTTTACGAAACGAATTCGATAGAAAGCATTTTTTTGCTACGTGGGCGACGAGATTTCACAAGGGATTTGCGAAACGCGTTGACCTGCAGCAACGGTCGGTGAATGATTTACTAGCCGAGGATCAAATCGATTGCGAATTGAAAGTCCAATGAGCTGATTCTGTTAGGATTTCGCGAGACCGATCTTTATCGAATTGGCAGAAATGGTAATCTTCGGTTATACGCCAAACAGTGAGTCAAATCGTATTACGCATACGTTGAATCGCTGGTCGAAAAATAAGTATATCTCTATTTCCTTGTGAAAAATGTTTAAAGATTAATGCTACGCGTATTTAGCGCGGAATGAGTTAAAAATAATATTCCCTCTTCCTATCAAAATTATCATCGTGTTTGTTCCACATGTGAAATTTGCGAAAAGATATTTGGTATGAGTAATTATGGAAAGAACGATTGATTTATGTGATTATGAATGAAATTTCTAAGACAGAAAATATGGAAGGAATTTGTTTTATCAGATAATTTTGTTTGTAACTAATTTTATAATTTGTGAACTAAAATTCGAATTAATTACGATAATTTGATTAATTTTCCATTGATTCGGTCAAGGAGAATTCTTCTGAGAAATCTTCCAATGCAGTATAATTTCTTTTAACAATTAACCAAGGCTTCTTGGTGATTATAAAGTCGTAACTAATTAAATGAACATTTCGATAAGAAAATATATATAAAAATGAATTTAATAAGCGTTTAATTCTGAATACAACTAGCATCCATATCGAAACACAATTATGAGAACAAGCAAAGGAAGTAAAAAATTAGAACTTTGGCGATCTTATCATGATCATAATCCGTGATAAATTTACTCCATTTCAAACACACAAGGATCGCGTTAAAATTACATACATCTAATAGTTGCTTCCAAGTAACTGCAACGTAAGACCTGTTAAGGCTGTATTAAGGTAATCCGTAAAAAATGCAAACAACAGCCGCGTAAAGTTAGTATAGCCATTTGAACGTATTAAATTACTATAAGCTTAACACTCAAGTGGTATTATTTGTTCATTGATGACGATAGCAATTCGTTCGTATTAGAAATCAGGTTACATAATATGTAACTTAATATGTATATTGAATTTTACGTTGGAAAGAAAAATTAAATGAAATAAAAATATTTGTTTTAAATTTGGAACATAAAACGATAAAGTTATGTCACAATTAAACCGACTCGTTATGTCCAATCTGCTGCTACGATTCAAAGATATCAATTAGTTAAAGACATATATTTTTATTTGCAAACATAAGTCAGCAAAGCTAAATAATAATGTAACATTAGATGGTATATGAAATTTCAAATGCAAAGATATTCTCATGGGAATCATTCATTCCCTATAAAATAAAATTTTATCAATTACCATATTACAATAAGTGGACACTAGGATCAAATTCAAATTATACAGAATTAAATATCGATCCAATATTAAATCGCATTTCAATGATATTCTCTTGAAAGCCATTCATACCCTACAAAAAAAAATTTCCAATTACTACTGCAATAAATCGATAGAATCGAATTCAAATTATGCAAAACTCAATAATAATCGGATGTTAAATCAATGCAGATGGAACTTGCACGTTATACTCATGAAAATCGTCGATTAATGATAAAACAGAATCTTACCAGTTACCCTATCGCTATAGATTAATAAAATCGAAGTTGAATTATACAAAATCATCTAATAATTCCGTATTACGATATACAAATCATTAATTTTCTATCGAATAAAATTTTACCAAATAACGTACTGCTACAAATCGATAGAATCGTAGTGAAATTATGCAAAACCAAATAACAATCCAATATTCGATTAAACAACATCGAAATTTAGATAAAATTATACAAAATAATAAAATAAAATTTTATCGATATTAATACAATGAAAATCTGAAATTCAACGATATTCTCGCGGAAACCATTTACTTTCCGTAAAGTAAAATTCTAATAATTACTCCACCGCTATATAAATTAGTGGAATCGAGTTAGAATTACGCAAAACTAATTTCGGTCGGATCGAATAGAGAATAGCCGGCGAACAAGCGGCGGGTGAGGTCTGTATCATGATCGAGCTACAATCGACGCAATTATCACGGCTGCGCAAAAAGCTGGCCGCAATGGCGAGGTCGTTTATAGTGCATGACGAACGACAATAACGATTCCGTGATACACTCGCCAGAAGTTTTCCGGCCGCAGCTGTAAAACTCTTTCGTTTCCTGTTCGACATCGAATCGAACCGTCGCGTCATTCTTTTTCCTTTCTTTGCTCCACCCTGCATTTTCTTTTCTTCCCTGTCCCTTTCTTTTTTCTCGTTGACTCGTCGAAATGATTTCGTCACGATTCCCAACCGCGATAAACCGAAACGAAATGGTTCACGTTGCGATATCGATGGCGTGCAAGCGTTGCGAGGATTATCGCCGTGAATCGACGAAAAACACAATGAGCGAAGAAAATGCATCGTCTCGCCTTGCCAACTTGGGAAACTTATCGCGCTTAATAGACAGACGTAAAAGAAGTTTTCTAAGAAGCGTAAAACGAGATATCTCCAAAGTAGAATGTATCGCAGCGATTTATTTACGTGAAGCTTTAGGCTATTGATTCAGATCGATTAATTAAAAATGCGAAGGCGGTTTCATACTTTGTTAATTAACTTGAAATTTTTGATATTATCTGCTATTAAATAAACTCACCGGACGTATAGTAGTTTTAATGTAATTTGTTTCAAAGATAAAACGGATATATTGATGATTCTTTTTATGTGTATTAAAAACGATTCAAAAATACCAATTAAGTGTATAAAAAATCACTTAAAACGACAAATACTGAAGCAGGATAAAAATGTTTAATATAGAATTAATATAATTTTGTTTCCCAGAAAGTTTTTAGAATTACTTTAAAATTTGTTTATAATACTAGTGGAATACGAGAAAAATAAATTATGTTTCATTCTTGCTTGAAGGAACAATTTCAAACGTCTTCGAACCACGTGTTATGCATTCCATGCATTCTTAACCACCTCTCTATCTCCGTCGTTCTTTTCATGTGCGATTCCATCAATTCGCAAATTCCATGAAATCATCTACATAACAATATTTCAATTAATAAAGTATTAGAAATTTGTTACTTTGGATATAATTAGTACATCAGAAATAAAATTAAATTGAAAAACATGAAAAAAGTAATAAAAGAAAAAAACTTATGAAACGAAAAGTTCGAAATAATACACGCAATATCAAAATTTAAACGATCAGCCAGCCAAAAATAAAATATCACTTTATATTAAAATCTATTTCAGTATTAACTTGATCGCACCTGAAAACAGTTTTCAGATCAAACCTTCTCATAAAAATTTCTTGACTTTCGACACAAAGAGAAGTACTTCACAAAATGATAAATTTTTCAATCATCAATGTTAACACCACCAAAAGCAAAAACAAAAAAAAATGGACTAAAGTAAACCCAAATAAACACCAAATACGATAAATATCATTACCGATATCATAAACCAAAAATCCGAAAAATGAAAAAAGGCTCGAAGCTGTTTCCACAAAATTCAAGAGATCCAATTTCTATGCAATTTTTTCGTCGCGTGTATTCGTAAACGATACTCAATTTTCATTGCATATAAAAAAGTAACTATACGATTCTAACGAAATATAATTTTTCGGCGAGGAAGCGACGTGTTCAACGTGTACCTGTCCAAGGTAAAACGATCGCGTGAACGAAATGAAGAACGACGCACGGGCCGAACGCGGCACACGAACTGAACACGAAAAACCGACTGGACCCCCTCGTGAAACTTCGGTACCGGTCGCCTGGTGTCGTTTCAACGTATGCAGCGTTCCATTCGGTTCCGCTCGGTTCCGTTCAGTTCCACGGAAACCACGATACTGATGGGCATCGAGCTTCTCCTGCGCGCTTCCCTCTTTTTCGCCCCCATTAATATACTCTCTCTTTACCTACGTTTCTCCCCTCGATTCGACCACGTCTTCTTTGACCTTGTTTTTTCCCTTGTTTCTTTTTCTTCCGTATTAAATTTTTTTTTTATTTTTTTTCTGTTATAACAAAATTTCTTTTTAAATTCTTGCGTGCGTAGCTGTTATTTAGAATAAACCTTTTAATAAATTTCAGGTTTTTAAATATTTCTCAGTGACTTTTTAGAACAATTTTGCTAAAGATTTTATCAATTTTTTTCCATGTTTGTCCAGCATAGCTGAAATTCTTCTTTCATTTGTAAGTTATGCGCGAATCGAATTTGACGCGAGGAATTTTGTACTGAAATGTTTGTCTTTTTTTGATATTTTTCTTCTTAATTTCATACTCTGAAATTTACTTTACGGGTGTATATCCTTCCTTAGTTTACCGTCTTAGTGTCCATTTAATTACTCGGTTAGTCTTTGTTTCCTTAAAAGAGTTACTCCTCGCGACATGCTTTAATTTACAATAGAATAAATTTCTTTTGTTCTTCGTTTAGTTTTTTGTAAAAAAAGAACGCGATCCTTTATCGTTTTCGATGTTTTACGATCAAATTATTCTTTCCACTATAATCCGTTTTACCTTCTACCACAAACTTTCAACCACATTTTCAATATTCTCCCCTTTATGTTCTTCCTCCTGTAATTCTTAATTCCAGCCCACTTTCTACTTCATTTACAAGATCTTACCCTGAAACTTTCCCTCGATATTACACCCTTACTTCGTCATCAATATCATCTTACCGCTGAATACTTCATCTATCTCATCAATCTACCTCTGCGTTTCTTTCTTTTTTTTTGCGTTTCTTACCACAGAATTGTCACCCCCATTAAACACTAGCAAACATAATCTAACGAACCTAAACACCTCTCTCTCCTCTTCGTCCCTCCAATTTCCCCTTTACCACAATCTTACAAAGAAATATTTCCCTAATCAACTTCTAACTATTAGTACCATCAAACGTAATCCAACTAACCAATTTAAACACCTGGCTTCCTTCTTCGTCCCTCCAGTTTTCCCTCTACCACAATTTTAGCGACATTCTCCAAACCAACCATTAACCATTATTACTACCAAGCATAATTCAACTAACCAATCTAGCTACCTCGTTTCCTTCTTCGTCCCTCCAATTTCCTCTTTATCACAATTTTATAAAGCGACATTCTCAACGAATCTCTGACCATTATTACGAATATAACTTCATCATGCCGTATCCTCGTCGTATCCACGAATTACTCGACCTTACCGCGACTCTTCCCTTTTTTTTCCCTCGTCTCGTTTCTCTCACCTGTCTTCACTCCGTCTCTTCCTCTCTTCCCTCCATCGGTTTCCTGTTTCGCACGACTTTCGGCCGCCAACGACTGACCGAGACTACCAAGCCGCCGCGCGAGCAAGCGTGTCCGCGGGGGTGGCCGTTCGCCGCGACTGCGCCCCTTTTTTCGCCACGACCACCCCCTCCAGCTACCCTCTCGGGCATCGCAGCTCGTACGCGACAACACCGTACACATTCTCCGAACGGGACTAATTTCCTCGTGTTTTTTTTTCCCTCCTCGACCGTACGGTAATTTGTCGCGTCGTTGCTGTTGCGAAATTGTTTGCAATCGACCGCCCCTTGGTGGACGCTTCTCCGCTTTCCTCAAGAAAAGAAAAAAAAAAAAAGAAAGCCTCAGGAGTGTTGGAATAACTCGATGATGGATGATCTTTCGGTTTGGATTAGCACAATTTTCAGTTTTACCCTGGAATTTTGTTCGAGTTTGACTCGTGTCTGTTTGTAGGATTTGCGTTAACGTTTGCTGTTGGAGGTAGCGTTAGAAGATTCGTAGTGTAGTTTGTGTTGTATTTCACCGGCTCTTCGTGGACACGTGTCTGTTCTTCTCTGGAAAAAACGAGAGTTCGAGGTGTTTTGAAATAATACGACGATGAATCTTTTGACTTGGGTTAGAGTACTTTCGACTTTATTCTCGAGCTTTATGAGAGTTCGGCTCGTATCTGTTCGAAGGGTTTTGTATTTAACTTTGTTGTAGCATTAGACTGTTTATAGTATTGTTTGTATCCTGAGTATCGGCGGTGTCATTAGGAATGAGGATATTTATAGGATCATAAGATTAAGAATTCTAAGAAAAATAAGTAGAAGACAAACAGAATATACGATATATAATCACGAAAATAAATAGAAATGTCAAGTATTGTAATATTCAAAGAACAAATTAGACTCTACTTAAGAATTTCGTGGAGAAGAGCAAAGACTGGAAAATCTCCCCATTTCGTAGAAACGGTCTCCGTGTGTTTTATAATATCTCGTTGAAAGAATGGCTTGATAATTTTTATAAAAACGACGCAGGTAAATTAATCTAGAGAGGAAAATGAAGTCACGCAGGAAGGTAGTCGCTGTGTTAAAACATTAATCGTCTATACTGTGTGAATACCTGAAGAAAATGGCGAAATTTTTAAACGACAAAGGCACGTTATTTCGTAATTACCAATGATATCTACATAAGCTTTATTTAAGATTCAAATTTATCACCGTCCACTAAAGTCATTTGACACCTTTTTCCGGAAAGCTCTAAATAAATTATCCAACTCCTATCGCACTGCTTTTATCAACTTAGATTCTTTTTATTCGTTTCGTTATTCATATTTTCTCTACTGTACGATTATTTATAGAATAATATGACGAGCCAAAAATCTCAGTGATATAAGTCAAGATTCTAGTCACGTATTTGAGCTCTTAAAAATAGCATCCTCTTAGTTTCATAATTAGGTAAGTTATAATTTTATTCTCTTTCGCAATACGAGATAATATAGCGAATTTTTATAAAGATAAACGAGGAACATTGTTTTATAAACTATAATAAATGAACTGATTTATATCACTATGATTTTCATTCCATATAATATTATCAAAATATTAATATTTTCTTAAAATTAGAAATTCTCGAATCTGTCATCGTTAGATACCAGAAAGAACATACGTGAAAAACAAATCAACAACACAAGTTTCTAAAAGTAGCTTATATTACGATACAAATACCAGCGTTACCTATAAAATTTCAATAAAACAACTTTTCAACTCAGTTGTTCAAACTTTGCCCAATGGAATATCAAACAATCTCTCTTTATTTTTATTCCGACTTCTTCTTCTTCTTCTTCTTCTTCTTCTTCTTCTTCTTCTTCTTCTGCTTCAAAACACGAAACTTCCAAATGATTTATATAAAAATTACCATAAGATTACCATAATAAAAATTCTTTATCGCATTATTTACCAAACCAAAGCTTCGTTGCCCGCGGCAAAAATACTCTAACGACCACAAAACGATAAAGAACGACGAACGTAGAACAACGAAGTAGCAAACACGGTTGCCATAAAAATTCAGCGAACGCCATTTACATATTGCGAAAATTCTACTTCGGTGTTAGATGGAATCCGTGTTCGTCGAAAAACGAATCATGCAGGTACGTGGTTTGGCCAACCGGAGAATCGCTAGAAATTGAAATGAGCGCGAAGAAAAGAAACGGGCAATTCGGGTCGAGAAAACTGGAACGTCCACGTTCCTCCCACGCGTCTCTATCCGCGATCGATAGTAACACGTCGCTCGGACTACACTGTTGGCATAATCAATACGGACTGATATATCTGTAATAGGAGCGAAAGACAGCCGGCTAGCAAATGGTAACAAAAAAAAATCCGAGGGGGAGAAGAGAAATAGCGATGATAGATCGTTGACGGACGAGCACACGATATAACTTGTCATTCGAGGAAGGGCTGACTAGCCGCAAAAATTGCGTGCATCCTGGGACAATGCTTATTCATGTTGTTTTCCCTCGTGTGTTTGCTTGTACGAGTCTTTTCCTCGTTGCTTTATTTGAATAGAAGGTAGTTTTATAAGACGTACGTGATATTTTCAACTGTGATCGTAGATTTCTCGAATTGATTCTTTTTTATTATTTTCGATACGAAAATGGTAAAAATAGTAGAGGATTTATATTGCGTTTGGTAAATAAAAGATAAGAGCATGTGAATTGTGATTGAGATTGAGAGACGTCAAATTAATAAAAATTATAGTCTTTAATATAATAAGTAATAGAAAATGATGAATATGGTGAATCCAATAAGCAAAGTAACACACGCGCGGAATTATTAAATTGTAATTGAATTTTTAAAAAGGATTGCAAAGATGATAGGAATACTATGAACCAATTAGATTCGATAGAATTACTTTAATCAAATAAATGTTCGAACTTTCGCGTGTTTGTGATATCAACGTGAAAGTTTAAGATTTATAATGAATGGAAAATATCAACGTTACAATAAATCTTTAGATATCAGGTAGTTTATTTTTTCAGTTGCGATACATTCCGATGTTATGTGAATAAACGCGATTAATACGTTCAATTCGAATTGGCTTTAATTAAGCTTTCAACAAAACGTAATTAGAGCATCACTTTTACGAGTATATCAAAATTTCTATAATTCGTAGAAGAATTCTACAATAATTAGTTATCTTGTCTTTAATTCGTTGTACGTACAGTATGAAGGGAATTTAATTAAAATTAATTACTTCGTCTCGTCACAAGCACTGAAAGAGCGGTAAATTTGTTCATTTTCAAAGCCTATAAACTCCAATCTCCTTTCAGAAAATATTCATTTTTGTTCGCACATTTGCATAGCACTTTATTGCGAGTGAAGATTAAAAATTTAAAAGTTCAAGTTTCCAAGCAACCATCGACTGACGATAAGTTTTACCGACTACAGGTAGATTCATAAGTAGTTTCGTGTTTCTTATAATGAATGTCGATTGTCTCTCGTCTATGTATTTACGTCTTTGTAAAATATTATAAAAGTAGTATTATAAGTGAGACTGATTATGAACTTCGTAAGTAACGAATAAGTATTGTCTCATAAAATATTATCGACTTATCCTTCACTACGCTTTTAATACCAAAATCGATATGTGTCTAAAGGGAAAAAACTAAAATACAGAAGTTATCAATTACATCTTTTAATTTAAGGTGTAACATTAATTTGTGTAACTTAATATTTCAAACAAAGTAAGGATTTGAACGACTAATAATTAATAACAAATTCTCTTTTAACGTTATACTAATTAAATATGAACTGTATAAATATATAATTAGAATTTTGTGTCATGCAAATTAAACGAAACACTGAAAGAACATTAAAGAACCTGTATATTATCATCAATATAATTAATGTAATTACGTGTTGTTAATTTTCCAACAAAATTCCGTTTTATCCCCAACTTGAACGTCATATACAGAATAAATTAATTTATATCATATTGTTTATTACATTATTAATATTAACTTTTCTATTCATATCTTAATATAATCATATTGTAACAATTTATATTATTATATAAGTAAACATATTATGTACTAATCCAAAATCCAAAATGAATAAAATACATTTGATTTGAATGTAATTCTACATAATGGCAGAAAAGTATTAGCTAGATGCAATAAAGAAAACTAGGAAATTTAAATTATTTCTCAGATTCAGAAAATAGTACTCAATACATCATTATTTCCTTATATCTCTTACTAAAGTATCAATGATTGTAATGAATATCAACGATTTTAATGAGTATAAATGAATATAAACGAGTAGTACTTATATTGCCACGTTATAATTAATAATACCATCAATCTTCTAACTAACTATTAGACGTATCTACCTACTGTAATTACGTAGAAACATCAGTGAAAGTATAGTAAGCTCATCTCCAAATTACATCATTAGTCTGTAATCTCATTTGAACGCTGCACATGATTTCTCTTCTCCGAGGCATCATCGAACGAGGCACAAAGAGAAGAGGAATTACTAAACAGTCATAACAATTTATTTCGTCTAAATCTCGTGTCAAAGAGTATTGCGCTAATTGAGAAGTTCAAGATAGTAAAGGATGCAAGTTCAAAAAATAATAAAAAACGAATCACTTCGTAGAGAAAGATTCCATGCAGAATGTAACAAACAGAAGCTATATGTACTAGACATTTGTTTAAGTATCATTAACATTTTACCCACGGGGCATAGTATAAAGTACCTATTATACAAATAAATACGTGTAATTAATTTTACACATTGTTTTTACCACTTATTTTTCCTTTTCCTTTCTTTATAGCGTTCGAGTGATAAGTGGATTGTTTCTTGTACTTGTATCATTCATCATTTCAACCCATCAATTCCGTAATACACAGAATATTCGTGTTAGAATAATTAAACCTAACTAATGACAAGCGTGGCTTACTTATTAATCCAATTTCATGGCTGTCAATTTAGCTTTGTTTAAACAAGACAAAGAACACCGCAATATCACGTGCAAATAATATTGCAATCAGTCGCAAGTTGTTATTGTATAGCACGTATTCGCGTATGCACGCGTGGAATAATCGCTAACCAACTTGCGTGCCTTTACAATGTAACAGCCTTATGTATTCATAAAGTGCATCAATTATTCATCAGGCTTGGAGCTGAATGGGCCACGAGAAGAAAATCGCTAAATTTCCTTGCTTTCTCAGGCTTACTTGTTAGCTATGTTTAAAGAAATGCGAGACGCGAGATGATCCATCGTCGATTATGTAACTTTTTTGCAATTATTACAAGCTCAATTACGATGTTGGAACACGGAAGAGGTGTACGGATCTGATGAATAACGCGAAAGGAAGCAAATATAGATACTTATATTCAGGTATACACACGCGTAACAACTTATGCGTATAAATCCGATCGCAACGGGTTCCGTATTACGAGAGAATTAGAATTAGTACAGATCTGCAATTATAGAAAGTATCTAATTATAGAAACGTTAAATGATAGAATAGTATCCAATGTGATGTTCGTTTTCAAGTGTTTTG